TGCCTGTCTCCACAGCCACTTCCTCCACTTCTCCAGCCCTTCAGTTTTTGGGCACACTTCTCACATGAGCCTCGTCTCAGGAGTCCAAGAGACCTTCCTGGGGTGTTGGCTCCCTGCTTCATCCTGCGTAGAAAGAGTCCATAAATTGCCCCGGCAAGGATGTTCATTATCTGGCCAGCCCTGTCACCTGGTTCAGGAAATCAGGAACCAACACAGGGCTAGATTTTTCTCACAACTCTAAGAAGAGAATTCAGTAATGTCTCAGCTGAGACAGCAGCCCTCTGTGCTGCAGATAGTGCCAGAGAGATATGAAAATATGAGTATTCATATGGCAAACCAAACAATGAGCTTTAAAAGACCAGGTTTATGATAGGGCTTCGGTTATTTTGCTGGCATAATGTTCAATGTTGCTGGTGATTTAGCTAACAAATCTGAGCTGGCTAATAAGGCTTACAATAAGGTGATAAAGATACTTTGTGTTTGCCTTGTGTTATAAAAGTAGGTGCAGTGCTTTGGCAATAGTTCAGACATAGGATGCCTTTATCTCTTGACCTCTTGTCAGTTACTGTGACTGCAGTAGTGATATATTTCAGAAGTTAGGCAAAATAATAATGGTAGGTCTGACTGATGAAGACATGAATTGAGAGGAATAGAACAGCCTCTAGCCCACCATGATGCTGTGGAAAAGGCGTTTTTGCAAGCAAACCTGATTTTGTTTTGAAACTATGCGCAGCCTCCTAAGAGGGATGACGTATGACAGCGTAATTTCTGCTGGCAGAACAAATTAAGGAGGAAATGTTAGCACTCACCCTCTGCCCAATTATGGCTGCATTAGGGTTGCTTCTTACTGACGCATTCTTAAAAGTTTTCCGGTCTCAACTGAAAGACGTTTTATCCTCTTTTTCCTCTTTCCAATTTTTTTAAGGGCAGACATTCTGTTCAACAGATATGAAATTATAGTAATGCAGTTTATATACAATCCTATCTAAAAATAGCAATGGCTTCTGCTGATTTATGATGTGTACTGGGATGAATGCTGCTCAGAAGTAGACTTTCCAGTTCAGCAAGTGAAAGGAGAGAACAAGGTCTTTGCATGCTGGAGATGTGACTTCAAGCACCAAGTCAGCCTTTTGTCACCCTGAGCATGTGACTTCTGTGTCCAAGTCTTCCAGTTATAAAATGGTCCTAAGCAGTACCTCTTGGAACCACAGGAAAAACGAATTAGCATTTTATTACTGATCTGTTGGAATCTATTTTAGGCAAGTTGGAAGGTCAGCCTAAACCTCTGTTTGATACAAGAGCATCTATCTATGCAAAGCAATTTTTTGTGCCGGACTAAAATGGGAGACGGGCTCTTTCCTAACAAAGCACTTGAGTTTGTTGTCAGTAGTAAGGTCATGAGTAGTTTCCAAGGACTTGTGTTTTGCAGCATGGGGCATTGGTTCGGATATGCTACTTAAGCTTATTAGCGGTGCTGATAACGCATGAGGTGCTAGAAGCAATTTTCTTGTGTTGGAAGGCAATTCTACAAACTGACATGTCACCTAAGTGTCCCTTGAAAGATGAATGAGACAAAGGCTGCTGGTCTGTGGCTTGCAGTTCCCTGGGCTGTCCGATGCAGAGGAGATCACCTCATGGAACATGTGGGGTGCTTCTTATAATTCCTAGGTGGGGACCAGTGTACAATGATTTCATCCTGTATCAACCAATGAATGTGGTGAAGGTCCTAATGCCACACCACACATTGACAGGAAGAGTCCCAAGAGCCTAACTAACTTCTACAGTATGTGTGCAGGTCCTCTCCCTCTGGAGTTGGACTGTGCTCAGCTATTCTTTAGAACAGTTTCTCTTGCCCTGGAAAAGAGAGAGGTTAGAGAGATTATCCTCATGAGGTAATGTGAACTTCTGCACATATTTGCTACAAATATGAAAAGGATTCATTTTGCAACTTGGAAAAGCAACTAACAAAGTTTCCTTGACGTAGCACAGGGGGCTATTGAGATAAGTGTTTGGAGTCAGGGTTGTTGAAGTAGAAAAAAAGAATGCGTTTTTGAGCAAAAGAAATATTTCAGCTCTCACAGGTGAAAAGATTTAAATAATGAATTTGACTACAGGATGGGTGGATTCAGACCACTAAGTAGCAACACATGTTCTCTCTTGGGACTTTCCATCTGTGGCTTACCAGCCATGCCACAACGAAAGCCTTTCGCTTTTCTGTGAAAGTGAGTCCATTTCTTAGAGTCTTCCCACAAGCGGTGCTTTCCTGTGTGTGTGTTTAAGTTGCTTGGGACATGCAGTTCATGTGAGCTGCTGTACCTTATTGTTCTCTACAACTACGTGAAAGGAGATTGTAGCAGGATGGGTGTTAGTCTCTTCTCCCAAGTAATAAGTGATAGGTCAAGGGGAAATGGCCTCAAGTTACACCAAGGGAGGTTTGGGATGGATGCTAGGAAAAATTTCTTCACAGAGAGGGTTATTAAGCATCAGAACAGGCTGCCCAGGGAGGTGGTTGAGTCACCATCCCTGGAGGTATTTAAAAGACCAGGTAGACGTGGTGCTTACAGATGTGACTTAATGGTGGTTTTGGCAGTGTTAGGTTAATAGTTGGACCTGATGATCTTTGATGTCCCTTCCAACCTAGATGATTCTATGATTCTATTTTTAATGAAGGAGGGCAGAGGGAGGCTGGTGCCCAAATGCAGCCTGGGACAGTGCAATGAGCTGGTGCCAGTTCTGGAAGTGGGATCTGTAGGGGTGGTTTGCTCTGGTAGGGGTTGTTAAGTTGGGTGAGAAAAGGATTTATGAGCCAAGGCTTAATGCTCTCTTCAGGCTACTGTGTGGTTTTCGTTGAGTTTGTTCAAGGTATTTTGTTGTGTGAGCCAAAATAGAACAAAGCTTTTCAGGTCTCTGTGTTGCATTAATCTCCCCTCATCTGAGGGCTTTGGAAAGGAACACTTGTACGCTTTGAGGGATGTGGCTGAAAGTAAAACCGCCACTTTGGTTGGGAGAAATGGTATAGAGCAACTTGCCTTTACACACTGATAGATTTAGTGGAACGTCCAGAACAACAAATGGATTTTATTTAAAATGCAAACCTGTACATGATGGCAAAAACTGTTATTACAAAATTCAAATTGTAACAAACAGCTGTCATCTGGGATTTACTTGCGTTCAAAAATAGCTGGAAACTGAAAGCATGGACTTTGCAAAAGTAGGCTGTTGCACTTAGATGTATTCACTATGTACCATGAAGTTGCCCAGAAGTAAGAAAATCTAACCAGCCTAAATTAGCTTAACGACATACTGTTAAATAACTGCTAGGTCACTTACATCTCTGAACAGTTACAGCTTCTTGCAGTTGCAGAATATAAAGGAAGAAAACTGTTTTTTAGAAAAGGCTTCTGTCAGTTACAGCGGCCCCAAAGAGGCCCAGCATGTGATAGATAGTGAGGAAATGTCTGCAGGATTTCTTACTGAACCACTAGGAACCGGTTACCCTTCACATCCGCACAGATGTTCACACTTTTAAGGTGTCTGCAAGCTTGCATGCTTTCTTCAAGCAAATTCCCTTTAGAGTCCACTGAAGACTAGATATGGACTCAAGAAAATATCTAACGCCTAGATTAATGGACATGAGAGAAGACAAGGAAAGGCTGACATTTAAAGTAACTTATGGTACTTCAGTAATCTTACCTGACAAATGCTGGGAGCTAAATGCCCTACCTGATAGGGTATGTGACAGTTATAGATTGAAAGGCAACAGGGGAAAAAAGTGAAATTAATAAATAAAACAGTATTTTTCACAGACACTGGAGATTAGCAAATATGCAATATACTCTTTTTGACATTGATAAAACGTCTTTTTAAAACCACAATGTACACAGTTACTTACAATCTAAACAGGAGATTAACTACTTAGTCGCAGCTTTTTTGTGTTTTTTAAAACAAAACAAAACCCAAAACAACAAAACCCCAATTTCCCTATCCTGCTCATATGGATGAGTAAGCCTAGGCTGCATCACAAGAGCTGAACTGTCCCTTAAGTGCTGTGGAGGCTGATCCAGTGCAGGCCTCCCACAAGCTGCTGGTGCAGCCGTGGTACACAGCTGCCTGAGTCCCAGTGTCCTTGGGGTATCGCTTCCACAAAAGCTAATTGTGCTACTGCCAAATGGCTCTGGATTCTGCACGGCAGGAGAACAGGACAACAACATTTCAACTTCACTGGGCTGGGATTTGACAGCTGATCTTGATATGAAAAATATGTCCTGTCTCAGTTGACACCGGATTGCCTCACCCCTGCAGAGCTAGGACAAACAAGGCTGTGATTTATTCACAAAAATGGTAGAATTTTAGTCTAGCGGCTGGTGCAGGAGAAGCCAAGTGTTTTCCAGGGCTCAGTTTAAAATCACCATCTCCACTCCTCCTGTGACAAGATGGAGAAGGCTGCCCCACCTAGGCAAGTGACCTAGTATAGGTTCTTCCTCCTCCAAAACTTCATACCATCAGCAAGGTGTTCTTGGCTGGCTCGGGGCTGAACCAGCGAGGTACAAATACTGACACAAGAAAACTGCAGTTCTTGGCTTCTGGGTAGTCATGGACAATACAGTGATATACTGACACAAGAAAACTGCAGTTCTTGGCTTTCTGGGCATTCATGGACAATACAGTGATATGCTCTGCACTTTTTTTTTTTCTGGTGGAGGGATAGGACACAAGGAGAGGTTTGGTTAAAAAATTTCAGTTTACAATCCTTCCTGGAAGCCACAGGGGAGTGCTTAAATAAAGACCAGCTGAATCGAGCAGAGCTTGACCACAGTTTCTGTTCCAACCTGAAAAAGGGTAAGTCAGGTAACCTGACATTAACAGAGCCGAGACCACTATTTTTAGTCAGTCAGACTTCCACAGCCTGTTCTTTCACACGGTACGCACCGGCTTCTGTCAAAAGTGGAAGTCCCCTTTTTGGTGGAATATTTAGTAAAAAACAAAATGTTGGTATCGAGTGCATTTAAAGAACACGTGTTCCCTTACATTAACACATTCAGTGCTTAACCCCGTCAGAGCAACTACCATTTTTTGAGGACTGGGTCAAAATGTTCTCCCCAGTCCTGTACACAATGGCATACAGCTGGTGAAACCAGACAATGGAAGCATGTACTGTAGAGAGAGAAAGGTGGAAAAGGTCACAAATCTCACTTTGCAGAGAGTCCTTCAGTTTTTTTTTCTTTTTTCTTCTAGCTGCCTTTCTTCACATTCAGTAGTCATCATCAGGGTAAGGAGACACACAGCAAGAACTTCCCACGCTCCCGAAAAGCAGTTGCTTCTGCTACTAACAAAGTCCTCAAAGGTGATGATGAGAGACTGGGTGCTCACCAGCTTTCAGTGCTCTGGCACAGAGTAGCTGAGTCTCAGGCTTTCCTCCGTGCAGAAGCTCAATACATGGACAGGCTGTCACAGAGGACTGTCCAAAGTGGTTAGCTGGCACAGTGACACAACTCTTGTGTGGACACAGCCAGTGGTTGGAATAGAAATCCAGCAAATTTTGCCGTCTCTTGTGTTGGAGAAGCTTTTTTTTTTTCCCATCTCTCTTGGCATAGTCTGCAGAAATCTGTCACTTGTATTACAAGCCACGCTGCTACTGAGATAAGGAGTGATGCTTCTCTTGAGACATCTCCAGCTGTCCAAATTGTTGACAGACTTTCCATTTAGACAGGTGCTGTAAAAACAAAACAACTTTCTTTTAGAAAAAAATTCCCTGGAAGCAATGATTTCCTAGAGTTGTTTTGCCTACGTAGCCAGTGGAACAAGCTGCAAAGCTATGGAAGAGATGTATTCATGCTGCTGAGAGTGAATCAGCTGAGGGGAATCCCTCCTTCTGCCTGGATACCCGAGACACTGGGGACCCTCTGCCCTTATGCCACAGAATGGAAGCACCTCTCCTTCTGCAAATGCCAAAATGCTCTTCTGGTAACATCTCCCTCCCTTGTGAAAGGATGTCAGGGTCACTTTTGGCTCATTCTAAGCTGCTTCAGAGAATGAGATGTACAAAACTTATTTGTGGTCAAGGGAAAGCAGCTTCCTGAGGCTCCTCTACACACAGTGGAGGAGCAATTCCACCAGCTCTGAATTTCTCCTCAGTGGAGCATCCTGCCCCACTGACTGTAATGGGTGTCTGGAGAGACTAACCCCACTGGGATGAAGTTACTTCTTCACAACCTGCCTTCTCTGGAGCTCCCAAAACTTTTTTTCTTTGTAACAGCAAAGCTAGCCTCAGTAGACTCTTTGTTTTGCAGTATTCAGGATTCCCAGCCCCTGCGAAACAATCCTACCTTTGCCATAAAGTGAAACCCATATCATCAGAAACATATTTACATTAGTACTAAAAAGCAAAATGCCATGGCAGAATGTCCATGTGGGTGCACCTCTGCAGTGCCTACTCCCTGTCTACCTCCACAACTTGCTTGAAAATCTCAAATGATCATTGAAACATTAATTTCTCCAAGAGCCCATCTTTTGCCCCAAGGTAGTATGAGATATTTCTAAATAGTTTCTGAAAGATAGTGGTTTCTTGTTTCATTAAGAAAAAACAGAACAGCAACAGGCCTGGACAGATGGAGACTTGATAGCCTGCAAAAACTCTGCGTCAGCGCTCAACTACCATTACCCTTAGAAATGCATTTTTTTCCCTAACATCTAGCCTAAATCTTTTTTGTTTAAGCTTCTTGTGCCTTAAGTGCTATGTCCCCTGGGTTAGGACAACAAATATTTTGTCCCATCCTCTTTGAGGACTCTGAAGAGGGTTGTTATTGTGTTTCTAATCAGCTTTGCTTTCTCCAGTCTAAACATAATCAATCTTTCATCAGAGATCACATTCCCTAGATCATTCTCATTTCTACGGTATTGATCCAAGTTGCCCTCAAACTGGAATGCCCAAAAGATGCTGCCTTCTGTGGCTCTGTTGGCAGAAAACAGCCCATGGAGGTGGGAAAGCTTCTGGTAGCAGCAAACCACCAAAGCAGCTGTCCCACCTCCTCTTCCACAAATGGTGTGGAGATGTGCCAAGGAAAAGATAGTGTCTGGAAGGCAAGTGTCTTTGTTTTGTTGTTAATGAACAAATGCCATATCAGCCTTCAAGACAAGACAAATATTTACTCCTGTTTATGTCACAGAGGTTTTTCTACTGATGGACTAAGTCCAGGGATCAAATTGGGTCTGGTGTAAGTAAGTCCAGAGAAGAAAACGTTGACCTTAAATAAATGGGTCGTGTCATGTTAATGCAGCTCATAGCAACGGAAGAAGAAAATGTATTTTTATCTTAAGGAGAAAATCTATTCTTCTTTCTACATTATGCTCTGCAGGAAGCAGTGTAATGACTGTTGATGTTTAGCAAACACAAATGTTGCGGATTGGGCTGGGGTTGCATGATGGAAAATAACTGACCATTAATCCAGTTTGCATGATCACCAAAGAAGTTCCAGAAAAACTTTTTTTAATTTAAGGGTTATATTGCTTCAGTTTGCTATTATGAATTGGGTATATTCACAGCATCTGTCAAACTACAAAAGAGTTAAACTATGCTTTAACTATTACAGTTTCAGTGAAACCACAGCATTTTCTGCCTGTTCTGCAGAGACACCCAGGCAACAGTCATTTGCTTCAGGAGAAACTATCAAATGAGATACAAAGTAGGCAGATGTTTCACCCTCTCTGTACTCTTACAAGTCCTCTATGCTGAGTATGTCCTTCCGAATAAGTCTTGGATTTTTTTTGCCCCATTTTTATTTTTCTCCCCCAAACAATAAATGAATTTGTAAACCAGCTAGCCTGCAATATTGCACTCTTGCTTATGAAAAATACAAACATGTTGAAGGTCTGAACCGCATATTTCTTTTTCTAGTAAAGCAGAGTGCTTAGTATTTTTCTAAAATTGGATGTATATCAGCTCAGGTTCATAGGTGTGAAGTAAATGATGTTCCTGCACTCCAGCTAAAGATCCTCTAGGGCATAGTGCCCAAAAAGGCAGAGAAAAACCATTTAATGATAGGTAGTGATATGATATGAATTGATAAATGGTCCGTGTTGTCCAGACTTGAAAATCAGCATTTAAAATAGATTTTCCAAGTTTGGCTTTGTCTTGATGGCAATAGGAGCTTTAGCATAATTGTAGAACAAGAAGGGAGAGTAGCTTCAGCCTGTCCACACTGTGTCCCCTGATGCTTTGTCCTTTGGCCTGAACTGTTGAAGGAACTTTTGGGAACCATGACTCTCAGGCTGCTTTTGGTAACACTTACAGAGCTCAAGGAAAGGGCTGAGAAGAGGTGTAAGGCTACCACTTCACATGTTTGAGTTTGTAACATCCAGCAAGTCCAATCCAAAGGCTTTGTGCTGAAGTACGGAAGCTACGAAGCTAAGTCACTCTTCAGACAAATATAGTAATATATTTTTAATACTTACAGTTGATTTCATCTTTGCCTTCATTTGGTTGGACATCTGTTGAGAAAAAGTGCAGTTTTAAGCATGTAGGATAGATAACTATAGCCTTTAGCCAAATGGGATTAATATTAAGCAATGTCCAAAGTTGAGGGTCCAATGTGCTAAATGCTCTTTGGACAGCAAAATGCAGTCCATATTCTATTTGCTAAGTCACCATTTCAGCAAGGATAGACTTTGGGCTTGAAGCAACAGCCCTGCGCCATGCTTTGGGACAGAGTCCTGCATCACTCTTGGGTTGTTTCTGAAGGAAGAATGTGGCTCCCAGCCCACCTGCTGCAGATGCTGGCCAAGACCACTACCCTGTTTTCTCCTGCTCTTTTCTGAAGCACCTGGGCTTGCTAGCCAGGAGGAAGAGAGCATGGACTGAAAATGTGGTTTGTCTTTGTCCATGAAAAGTTCGGTTGCCTCTGCTCCCTTTTCTTAGGTGTTAAGCTTTTGTGCCTGCAAAGTGGCTTACAGTAAGTACTCAGATACATCAGCAGACTCAGTCTGGTTAACAAGATGTCTTTTAGAGCTACCTTTTGTTTTGTCATGCCAAACATTGAAGAGTCCCGCATGTGGGGAAATGCAGCAATACAAGGGTATGCATGTATAACATGGAGTGACAGCGAGACACGCTTTATTTCTAACTTGTAGAATGCTGCTTGATCTCAGTGAACCCTTAGTTGTCCAGACAGTGACTCTAAAGCTCTCAGGATTGATTTATCCTCTGATTTCTGCTTTGGATTGTGCTAAGGAAAGCAAGCTACTGATCTTGTTGCATGGAGGAGCATCTCCTCCCTGTGTCTAAAAACAGCCTGCAGAGATTGCAGCCGAGAAACTGTGGCCTGAACAGCCACAAAGTCTGAGTTACTCTCACATCCAGCAGTTAACTCCTGTGAGGCTTGGGCACGTTAGCAGAAAACCATAAAGAATAACATGTCATGGGGCACTATGTGTCTTCCCCAGGGCACCCCAGGTGTTTGATAACAGCATGGTTTCCTGCTGTTGTGTGCAGGCAGCTTACTTGTAACTTTTATCAATGTGCTGGATGACATTAAATATTTTGGCAAATGAAGAAGGATTCTTCAGATTTGATCATGCAAAGGAAAGGCAACATTACCTGTGTAGGACACTAGTTTAGAGGATCTCCGTTTCCACAGCCAGCAGATTAAAACAGCTAGAACACCTATCAGAATAACAATGGAAACAATTCCAGCTGCTTGAGCACCTCTTCCATTTTTTTCCAGGTTTTTGTGACTTTCTGTGCTAGAATCACTGCTTTGTTCCTGCTCTGTGTCTAGAATAAAATAGAAAAATGATTTTTAAAAGTGTAAGTTTTCACATTTCATATTTGACCACATTTTACTTGCACAAAAAGATTCTGAAGGATAAAATATGTGCTATTCATGTTACTGTGATTTTGGTAGTATTCCTTCTAAGCAAGGCACATTTCCAGCTTACACTGTCCAATAATACGATGCCAGTTTATTCCTCTCTGTCATCCTACTGCATGCAACCCTCTTTCTTTCTTTTTTTTTTTTCTGGTTCTTTCCTGTCAGACCTGGGAGACTGTATGTTTGAGCTCGTATCTAGACTCAATTGAAAATAAATTGATACAGAATCTATAAATGTAAATCTGATGGTATTCAGAAAACTGGGTGAAAGCCTGTTTCCCTGAAGTTGTGATGAATTTCCACTGATTGCTGCAAACTGAAGGTTTCAAATGCCTTACTCAAGTATGGTAGCGCTTTTAGAAACCAACCAAAAAAAAATTTAGTAAGATTAAGGTCTTTCATTCCAGAATAGACTATGACAGAATGCCAATAGGAAACTAATGAAAAGGTTACCTAGTTTTCCTTTAATTTGGGATGACAGCAAGGGTATCATATAAACACTCTACTGTGCAACTTCTGCTCATGTGTGCAGTTTTTGTTCCTGGAAATAGTTTATGAGTTTTGGCTATGTTTGTGGGATCACTTTTGTTAAGTCCAGAGTATGTGATTCACAGAATAGAATCACAGAGTTGCCCAGGTTGGAAGGGACCTTTCAGATCAGCTAGTCCAACCATCAACCTAACACTGACAAAAACCATCACTAAATAGAATCATAGAATTGCCTAGGTAATTCCTTGGCAAGTTTAGGTAAACTAACTGTGGGTATCCAGCTACAGTTACGCAAATAATCAAACCTCCTTGTGCCAGGGTGGAGAAACCTGAGAAACAAAGGTGTGGTGGGAGGCAAGACCAGGAACAGCAGTGGGATTGAGCAGCCACCTCCAGATAAGCTCTCCCACTCCAGACAGCTTCTCTACACAGCTTTTTGGTAGCCATGAAATACACTAATGGTACTATAGCTATAACTTTTTCTTTATACCTTTTTTTTTTTCCCTAATAGCTTTCTCCTTTTGTGAAGAGTTGAGTGGCTAAATACTTGTTTTTACTATTGATCACTCATATCAGCAATAAATAGCTTTAATACTTGTGCTATTAGGTGTATTGTTCTCTTGGGCTAATATTAACCATTTGTTACACGCCTACTTTAAACAGTGCACTGTATACTAAACTGATCTTTGGAGGCTGAAAACAGACTTTGAAACTAGGTATAGTAAAAAGCAAATGTGAGTGCTACAAAGTAGTTGGGTTGGGATTTGGGAATCGTGGATCTATTTTATGGTGCCCCCTGAAAAATAACCTGACTCCTCAAGTCATCGTGTTCCTGAGGAACCAAAGAGTAAAGCCCAGTGGCTGCCTTGCGTGCAAGAGCTTCTCGGTGCCATTGTCATAACACGCTTGATGGGGTGTTCACTTCCACGTGGAAGATGTAAACATAAAGTCCATGGCTAAACATAACTAGCTTGAAACAAAACTTGAGCTCTTCTCCATGCTTTTTGGAACTACTGAATTAATGCATACCCCTCATTAGCGTGTATCTAGAGATAGAGACACATTGGTTGATATTCCTGCTATCTAGAAAACATGAAGTAACACGAGGAAACTTACAGTTCACTGATAGATTCTCCTGCAGTATTTTATTTTCTATGGAGCACTCTATTTGCATGTTAGAAGTGGCTTTAACCTTAAGCGTGCTAAAAACGCTATAGGTGCCATCGTCGTGGAGGGTGATCTTTAGCTCCGATGGAGGCAGGTGGCTGTTGTCCGTTTTATTTATCCAATAAACATCGGGTTTTGGGTATCCATTGCCAGAGTTGCAGCTGAAAGTCACCTCCTCTCCAGTGCTGTAACTGTTTCTTTTCGGTCCACTGAGCACAGGTTGGCTATAACTAGCTGGAGAGCAAGGGAAAAAGAACTAGTCATTGACATGTTGAAATGTATTGAAAAGACAAAATTTCGACTTGGGTTCTGAAAGAGAAGTTACAGGTTTCACACGACCCCCATGACTTGAAAGGGAAACACCTGCAGGTTTGGTTTGTGAGCCAGAGAGATGAGAGAATTACTGGAAGGGCAGAAGGCTGAAGCCAAATGCAAAGAAACCAAGCAACTTCTTAAGCTGCTGCCATCCAGTCACAAGCAAGAGCCCTTATATTAATGAAAACTGAGATGAAAAAGCCTCACACTGGATAAACAGCTGTTACAGGTGTTCTCCCAGATTTAGATTCCCTATCTGTAACATTTATGTTAAGCAGACTTCACTTCAGTAAAGTGCTGAAGTATGTTTCAAAGTTAAGGCCATGCTTAAATATAATACTGAAATGGCACAAATTTGAAAAGCTGGAATGAGCAGCAAATGGGCACATGGGCAAATATGTGCAAGTAATACAACTTCTTACCTGCCAAACTGAGAAGCACTTCTGTCTGATGAATGACTCTGGTATATTCAGTTTTCTGCAGTATTACACATTTGTACTTGTGTTCATCGCTCTGGCTGACATTTAGAAGTAGCAGAGAAAAATCACCATTTTCCAATCTGTCCCAAAATAATTGAGTCCTGTTTTTAAAGTGAATACACTGTTCACTTTCATTGTCTTGACCAGAGATCAGTGCGTGTACAACTGAACACTCTTCTTGATCAGTTATTTGCCAATATACCCGTAAATTTTTTAAGTGCAGTTCTCTTTCTCGATAAATGCAACTGAGTGTAGCATTGTCTCCAAGTTTAGTGATCTTCTCCTCCAGCCCAATAACTACAAGATAAAGAGAGGGAGGTTATGGGGAAAAAACTTTAATTCTTTTCAAGTACATTCTACCTCATGTGGACTCCAGTATTAGTATTGATAAGAGGCAGGTGAGTGTGCTCACTTCATAGTCGTTTCTACCTCCTGACTTGCCTGTAGCTATTTCTCTCCATGTCTGTTTGTCTGTACATTTTCCAAAGGGACTTCTTACAATATAAAGCCTTCTGCTTACTTCTTTCTCTGAGGACCAACTGGTCTAAGCATTCCCAGCCCCACAGATAACCTGCATATTTCACTTTGCCTACTGACTGGGACTGACAGCAGACACATTCTAATCCTAATGCTTAAAAAATATTTTATTTTTTTTAAATTAAGAAAAATGCCAAATAACACCAGGTAAATCACAAGAAATGGGAACACCGGTAAGAAAAAGAGTGCTAGCATTATTTTGAGGCCCCAAAAATGTAAAAGGGGAGTAAAACCAGTATTTCTCAAAGTGGGCATGACATAGCAATCGCTTTTTACTGCTACTACAGGTGTTACCCTGAGAGGGACACATATACCCAGCCGGAAAACCAGCATGCCCAGATAGCTCTAGTGACACATTCATTAGACGTTTACAACCTCTCATGGCCACTTGAGGTAGGCCAATGTGGTATCTGGCTTTCAGGGCACTTTTCCTGGCCTCCAGACATGAGAAAGGCAGCCTATCCTCCCAGTGAGTAAGGCAAAGGCATGAGTTGGCTGATGAGCGATGCAGAACATGCGGGGCGGCTACTCAGAAAGGGGCAGGGTGGCTCTGACCACAGCTTCTCTGCTGGGGGGGATCCACCACCTCTCCTCCACCCCAACAGCCAAAATCTCTCTGGTGCAACTGGTTGCTGAGACCAAAGCAGTGTGCATGTTGTAAATGGGGTTGGATGGGAGAGATTACAGCTAGGGGGATTATGCAGGTGGGTGAATTAGGGAAAGAAAGACGACAGGAGTGAGAGTTTGGAAATGTGGAAACAGTGCATGGTGAGCTGGGAGGGAGGTGGCAATGTTAAAGAGGGACATGTCTTTGTGTGGCTGCACTGGACTCAGAAATAGCCCGTCTACGTGTCTTGAGTTGGGCACCCTGGCGAAAAATTACCATTGAAGTACTTGTAGGGAGGAAGGCAGTATGTTCTTTAGACCCTTATCCTCTGCTGGGCAAGACAAAAAGTAATGGGCTTGAACTGCTATAAAGGATGCTGCAGCTCAGACTTTGGGAAACCCCTCAAAGCGGCAGGAAAAACATTGCTTGGGAAGATGCGGGCACCTCCATCACTGGTGTTATTTAGGAAAAGGCCAGCTGGCACCTATTGAAACTCTGTGTGGTAACTTTATCCTGATTTGGGGGCTGGGGACTTTTCTTGATGACTTCATTGAGGCCCTTCTCAGTGATTAAGCAAAAATAGAGGAGAGACAACTCTGAAAACGTTTTAATATTGTCAAGTGTAATGTCCTTTAACCTTAACTTGTTTTGAAGGGGATTTTTGGAACTGTAATAAAAAAATTACTAATATTGAGTACTTGATACAGTGATGTATAATTCTAGTCACAGTATAAATATGGACTTTAGGCAGGCATGTTAAATCTGATCATCTGCAGCACTTACTACCCCACTTCTAAGACCTTCTGTTGGCAGAGATAAATACACAAGGGTGTATGTAAAGCAAGCAGAGCAATCCAAGCAAGAGCATCTGTAAGGACCCTTGCTATTCTCTGTACTGAAACTGATACAAACTGATTTCTCTTCTTTCCCTGATGCAAGTCATACTGAGGAATTCCTAAGTGTCTTGCTGAAAACACACAGATGTTTATATAGTACATATTACAAATACTCTGTATTTAGTGCATTAAGGGAGAGCAGCTTCATTTTTAACTAATGTGTTCTGAACTTACCAGCTTTCAGGACATGAAGGAGCAGTAACAGAAATCCATAGCTAAAATAAAAGAGCAAACAAGAGTGTTACACGATAGACTTTAGCAACTCTGATGTTTACCTAAGCAATAAATCTAATATTGATTGTTTCAGTATAGTAGCAGAAGTAAGTAAATTAGGTACTGCTGTTACGTAATGTCCCATTAAGTATTTGCATTTTTGACAGCTGCACAACTCTTATTCAAACGACAAAACTCTGTGGGTGGGTGGCCAAGGCCATGAATAGCAGTAAAATGCACTAATATTGGAATCGGAGCAGAAGGCATGAAGCTGGTGTTGTGCCTGTCTTTCTTGTGAAAAAACAAACCGTATAGACTTACTGGACAAATAGGCCCTGGGAGATACCTGGATCCCTGGGAAGGAGCGTGGCTGCACAGGCCAAAATCCAGGCCCAAGCCCTGCATCCCATTGTTTTGCTGAAACTCAATGAGTGGTGGTTTATCTGGTGAGAGGACTGCAAGCAGCTGACCATGCTGCCCACCCGTTTGTGGGACTCAGTGAAAATGTGTAAACAGGAAACGTGCTGCTGACAGGGAGCTGTGCAAAGGTTTTGCTGGAAATAATTTGGTGTGTTTGATTACCCCAGAGGGGCAAATCTATGCAGGAGTTTCCCAAGAGAGTTACACCTGCTGAATGCTATAGGAAAACCCAGAATAACCTGTCTGTGAAGACCAGGTGATTTAATTCTCATCTCATAGGGCTTTGAGAAACATAAATGTGCAGCACTTTCCCAAGAGTTACTTTAAAGTAGCCTCTCACCACCATGCCTAGCTATACATCGTGCTCTCCTTCCTCCAGATGGCTGTGGGAAAGGAAAGGAAGACAATGGAAAGGTTTTGGAATGGGATCTGGTTGGCTGCAGTTGCCCACCTTGGTATCGCCCCAGGTGGAATACGGTTGCAAAGCTGAGCCGATGGATGGGTAGAGGGACACAAGCACCTGCTCATCCCGTTTTCCCAGCTCACTTTTGCAAGCAAGTAGGACTGTGAGGCCACGCTACCTGAGTGGAGCTGGTTCCCTTTCCCAGTCGTTCTCAGCCAGGTCCAACACTGAACCAAGGGCTGGAGCAATAGGGAGAGCTGCCCACAGAAGCCATGTCCATCCAGGACCAAGCCTCAGGGAGACTGCTCAGCTTCCCTCCAAACCAACCCTGCTCTGCCTGGCCCTCCTGCCTCCAAGCTCTAATCTAAGCTCATTCCCCCAGCAGCCATTTCTCACCTCATTTTCCCCACCAGCTGTGCTTTACAACATCCCCTCTCTCTTCCAGGCCTCCTGCCCTTTCCCCACAGCTCATGTCCAGCCAAGCATCAGAATTTGTCTGCCACCTTCCAGACACAGCATCACTTCTGCCCAGCTTTACTCCCACCAGCTGTCTGGGCACAACTTGGGTCTCCACCTGCCCCCAAGAAATTTACAATTTTCCCAAACACGTTTGGCTTCCCATGGAGAAAGCAGAGGACATTTCTGACACAAAAATCTACTTCCACATCAAGCCCCATCTCCAGAGAATAAGCTGGGAAAAGTTTAGGGAAGAGTCAATCTGAATTGTGTTACTTTTATATGAAGAAAACACTTTCTTTTCCTTTTCTGTGTCCTTTGAAATGGTTTCATAGATGGGTTTTCAAAAGTTTACGTGAATGCACAGTATGGAACATTTCCTGTTCTAATACTTATTTTAGTAAGTCTGCAATCAACCCTAAAGTAAGTCTGCCAAGTAAAGAAACCTAAATACTGCAGGGAGGCAGCGCTGCTCTGTCCTGTCTCTGGCAGTGACTTTGACTTTTGCGTGTGTCCTTGTATTGTATTTCTGTTGTATTTTTATACCGTGCAGGAGCCACCACTTTTATGCCAGGTTTGTAGAGGTCTGTCTTGACAAGCTTACCTTAATGTAATTCTGAATTGTTCTTAATCTCGTGTCTGTGTTTGTTTTATTGTTCCCCGCCCAAGTTAGAAACTATCAATATAGTAAGTCATTTGAATTAAACGGAGAAAAACAATTAACTGATCTTTATGGGACTTTTTAGGGAGTTTCCCACGGTAGGCATTTGCTGATGCCAAAAAGACAGAGAATCAGTCCTGGCAGACTAGCTCATTATGTACACAAAGACATTCTTGATTTCTGATTTTCATAAATGATGTCACAGTCAAAGTTCAACAGATCTAGAGAGGTTCCTCCTCTTACTTGGAGAAGCATGCAGCTGCATAGTGTAGGAGCAGCCCACCCTGTTCCCCTGGAACAGCTGCTGTTGGAAAAAGGAAGGAATGATCCTGCTTGCAGAGAAACCTGCTTTTTATCACGTATGCCCCCAGTTCCTATGTCCATCACACTGGCAGCAAGGGCAGGGGTAGCTGCATTAGTTTCTTAGCTTCTCTCTCTTTCTTTCTTTTTTTTTTTTTTTTTAAAGAAATTGTTATTATTTTTCCTCTTTTCTTTCCCACACCTTCTCTTTCTGTAAGTTTTTTAAAACATCATGTGAAACGGGAGAAAGTTGCGCTTCCTCTTTCATACATTTTGTTCGGCAAGATCATTCTTCCTACCAGCATCTCAACTTTTTCAGGCGCTATTTATTTTAGAGTCAGGGGATGTTGCTGCTCTGGCCCAAACTAGCCAGACAAAAGATGCCCCGATGCTTCCAAGAAGGACTTTGGGGCTTTTGCTCCACTGCTAAGATTTGCTTTATCCCCTAACCTTGTACCGGCATCGTTCTTCTCGCATCAGCAGGCGCCCCAAATAGGTTCTCTAACGCCTACCCTAAGGCAAGGCTGATCTGGGCAACGCAAACCGGTGGCTCTGCTCGCCTTCTCCTCTCATTTGCACTCGGGGCCAAAAAATGCCAATGTTTAAGCCTTCGACGGGGCAGGTGACAAGCCACGGGCAGGTGTGGTTCCCTGCGTGGGCTGCCCCGCGGTGCCGGCTGGCGGCTGGGCGCTTTCTAATAGCCGCCTCGCCCGCTCTCCGCCCGGAGCCCGGCAGAGCCGCCCCCCCCCACGCCGGGAGATGCCGCCGGGCACATTTATGGCCCCAACCCGCTGTCCCGGCTCCGGGGG